GTTCTTGGGGATAGGGTAAAAAAATCTTAAATAGTGGTGTGTAGCCCACTAAAAAGCCACAGTATATAAAAGATATCCAGTGTATCTGTGATATTATGATTTATCTAAAAAAGGCTTGGAGAGGGAGGGTATTAATGAAAGAAAGGTTGAGAAACACTTCTCTATGAGCTCCATTACATTCTCTCCAGTGTTTCAAGCCCTTGGGCAGTTTTTTGGTTTAGCCAAAGGAACTCTGCTCTGCCTTCCTACCCTTCTCTAGTAGGGGAATATCTTTGGTTCTTCTGAGTCCTTAAAGTGTTCTTTTGAAGAACATATAGTTCTCCTGGATTCTTTGACTCAAAACACTCAGTCATCTGGAACACTATGTTACTTCTCTGAGCTTTAAAACAATTTTACGTAAAATTGATTTTTCACTTTTGCCAGTTCTCCCTTTTCTGAACTCTCTTCATTTTCTGAAGCCAAATTACTGTTTCTCTATCAACTGCCATTCATAGTTAGATACACCACAGACCATAGAACCATATTTTAAAAGGACTCCTATGCAACACCAGAAAATGATCCTAAATTCACTCCTAGAAGTTGTGATAGTGTGTTATACTTCTATGTAGATAGCCTGGGTTATTTTTTTGTTTTACGTCTGATATTGGAAAAGAGTTGTCATTCTCTACCTTTAATAGTTAGAAAATTTTCAATATATTCCTGCCACACTATCTACTTTAAGCAAAGCTCTGAGAAAACCCTCTTGCCTTTCTGTGCCAGCCCTGGGAGCAAATGCGAGTTGAGTGGTGTGCTAGATGTCCAGTACTACACTGGTTTCTCTTGCCCATCTTGACCCCACAGTCTCTTTCCTGTTTCTACAGTCCAGGAATGAGCAATATCTAGCAGGCCTCAGTCATAAAGTATTATAGTCATGCTTCATTTCTTTTACCTCTTCCTTTTTGTATTTTCCACCTCATATTTGTGGTGAGACTGTCTGGGTCTTTTCTCTGTGCTAATTCTCTCTTTAAGATCACTTCTGGTAGGAGCCTCCATACTATGCCACAATTAGTCCTGTTTTCAACCAAAGGGGTTTGAAATCCTCCTTGCTTATTATCTCAATCTTCTAAGGTAGATATTCCTCTCCCTCAGGTAAATCCTATTCCTAATTAAAGAAATCCATCTGGACTGTTACTCAATCGAAATGCCAAACTACTCAAACACTGTTAACGTGCTCAATATACGTGAAACTAATGAGGTTATTATACCACCATAGGAGCAATTTATTAATGAAACATTGCTATCTTACATGACAACTAATGGCCATGGCTTTAAGACTATGGCTTTCCAGTAAATGTAATATCAGTTAAATCTGTGTAGAAGGCTTGGACGAACAAGTCTCAAAATATAGAGGAAGGTGCCACTAACAATCATGTAACAAAGACAAATAATTTAGGTGTCTCTCCTAATTACTGTAAGGCTCTCTCACAGAACCTGACTCGTCTTTCATTCAGGAAATAGAAACCGTCTATGTTTTCTACAAAGCAAAATTATAAAGAAATAGAAAAATGTACCTTTCCTCGAAGAGTTTATAGTCTTTCACAGGGTATTACTTGGGAAAATAACTAAAAAAATTTTTTAAATAATTTTTAAGCACTAGGGGTACATGTAATCTGAACTGTAAATGAGTAGACAAAAGATTTAAAATGGAAGGTACGTAAGCTCAGAAAGGATGTAACATTTAGGCTGAGCCTTAAAGGAGATGCAGAATTTCAGCTGGTAGAGGTTAAGGGTGAGGTATGTGGTGGGGAGGTACTGGGTTGTTCATGGTGCCTTCCCTGAGTGATAAGCAAGGCTGAGAAATCAAGAAAACAGGAAAATGTTTTTGCCAAAAAATACAAATTCCAACCAATTAAAACATGGCTAGTAAAGTTCTAAAAAATGTGCAGAGTGGAACAAAAGAAAAACTGTGTAAGGTGAGTAAATGTTTCTAAGTCAGGACTACAAAAAAAGGATGTGATTCAAAAGTTAAAGATGCTAAAAACCAGATTAGACCTTTGTACAACCATATAAAGAGTGACTCACTGATAACACTAATTACTACATGCACATAAAATATACAGAAAGTGAAATAGAGTAGAAATTTCAATCAGTGCTAGAATACAAGGGTGTTAATCCCTCCTATCTACTAAGAACCTACTAGGTGATAGGACCTGCCCTTTGTATGTATTGTTACACTTAATCCTAATGATGATCCAGCCAGGGAGGCTTTATGAACCCCATTACATATGAGGAAAATGGGGCTCAGAGAAATTGATAATATGAATTAGCTAGCACTTCTACTGTTCAGTAGAGCCAGAATTTGATACCAGCCTTTCCTATCTTGAGGTCAAGTCCTTTACCCTATGCCAATGTACAATGATTTATATTTTAAAATAAATTAAGTAGATTCAAGGATACCTCCATAGTAATGTCACCCTCTTTGCAATATGCTTCCAGCCAACACTCCAGGGTAGAAAGTCTTTGGGGGTGTAATGTAGCCCACGAGACCATCATCATCATGAGAACAGCTGACGAGCATAAGTGAAATGTCCATTAGGTTAAGCTTTAATCAGTCATTTAATAGAGATCAGTGGCAAGAATAAGGGTTTGGGGGAACAGATGGCCCTGATTCCAAATCTGAATTCTGCTATATACTAATTACATGAAAAACCCTGAACAGGTGACTTTACTTCCTTGACCTCAGTTTTGCAAACAGAAATAATGGTAATTAACAAATTTATGTAGGAAAAACAAAGAGGAAGCTTTGAATAATGGAAAAGTACATTATTAAAGCTAAAAAGGCTTGGCCTCATTCAGGCATTAATTTAGCTGAATGGTCTTGGGCAAGTCACAAACTCTGAGCCTCTCTCTTCTGTGAAATGTGGATGGCATCAACTACCTTCCGGGTTTGTTGTAAGATTCTGAGATAATGTGTGTCAGGTTCCTAGAGTAGGTAGACTATATTACAGTAATGTACCATATTAAATCATTAGCATGATGCTTGGCAAAACATATACATTTCCACTCCATTCTTTTAAAACTTATTATAACGTTATTGGTGACTCTAACTAAATATTACAGACTATTAAAAAGTCATAACAACAATTGGGTAAAAACTGGGTATCCTATAAGTTAAAAATATTGCTAACTTTTTTTAAAAAAGATAAACCTCACGTAAGTGGAAAATTAGTCATTCTTTTCTCCTACAGTCCTTATACATTTTTTCACTGAAAGCATTCCCGTCTAAAAACATTTCATCAAGTAAAGTGCTTAGTCAATCTGAGAAATGACATTTAGTACCATTAAGCCTTCGATAATTCTACAAATAAGAAAATTATTAAACATGCTATCACTGATAAGACTGTTGGGTTAGTGGACCCTATCTATGCTCAATATCTATGATGTGAAACATGAAAGATATCCATCCTTGCAAAGCTGCTCCCCATCTCCCCCTCAAAAACAAACAACTTAAGCTAGAGAAAGTGTTTAATCACTCCAAAGTAAAGCAAATCGGGGTTACATCCTTGATTTTTTCTACTTAAACGAGTCACAAGAAATGCAAACATCATATAGTTGTATACATCTAACCTGTTATTTTCGTCCACACATCCAACGCAGGGTTTATGAATCTGAGCAAATTTGTGAAGTTCCGCTTTCATTTTGGGCTTACACAAATCATTAAAAAATAAGGGAAGAGAATGTATATACCTATAAAACTGATTGGCCCTGGCGATTTTGCAGTGCTGAGCCTACCAAGGAGGTTACCACTTTTCCTCCTCTCTCGTCTCAATGGCATTTTTAATGACTTGTACATGAAGAAGCCTCAAGTATGCCTTAGGAAACTACTACATACCTGTCCGGAAATGTGACCGTTGCTTAAGGCTGCATTTCGTACATTACCGAGGGCTTGTAAGAAGTGTGTGACTAAAAGAGGACTGCCATGTCCTTTACCTATTCCTCCCCCGTAACGGTGCGTTAAATAGGGTCATTCAAGCCTCCCTCTGCCTAATGCCAGCACTCCTACAAAGACTGATTGATTCTTATTTTTTACTTTAACGAGGATGGGGACTTGAAAGTGTTTGTTTCCTAACTGGTTTGCTGCGAGTTTAAAATGCTTTAAACGAATTTGAAACCAAGTGAAGTTTGGCCCTAACACTCTAAAATACCCGACCTGGGACGGGGGTCTAGGTGTCAGTGTTCTGAAGGAACTGGAATCTGATGTACACCGGCCGGCGTGGGGTGGGGGAGGGAAGAACTGGCTGAGGGAGAAAAGAAAGGAATTAAGAGTCTACAGAGCACAACCTAAAGCTACTGAGTTGCTTACTCCATCCTTAACCACCACCTTGCTGGGGACCCGCTGGAATGGGAAAGACCGGCGAGCCTGGATTTGGGTCCAAGGCAACGGTCCTGGCCTCAATCGCCGGCCTATTCACCTGGCTTGTGGGGCCCGCGCGATCCGGCTCAACCCTTTCTCCCCTCGGGTCCTGCAAGGAAGCGGCATCGTGCTCTCGGTCCCTTCCGAGACCTTCAATTCCTCTCTCCCCAAAGTGCTAACTTCAGGAGCTCGGCGGTAGTAAGGGGAGAGCAGACCAGAAGGGACAGGCCCTAGGGTCTCAGAGATGTGTAAGGTAATAAAGAACGACGACCGCCCCCGGCGCTGGCCCCATTTTATCCTCGCCCCCTCCCCCAAGTCCGCAGAACCTGCTGCGGCCGCGCTGAGCTTGGCGCCAGGCTGGGGACCCGCGCCCGGACGCTTGGGTGGGTGGGGTAGGGACTGGCGGGTCCCTGAGCCCTAGCAGCATATGGCTCCAGGGACCGATCACACGGTGGGCAGGCGACCACACTCCGCCCGCCCGAAAGCCGGGAGGAGGCAGGGACGCAGGCGAGGCGGGGCGAGTCCAGGCTCCAGCGCACCTAGAGGACCGAGCCCGCGGTCCTCTGCGGGCCGCTCCTCTCCATCCCTCCGCGGTCCCCGCCCTTACCTCTAGACGCGAGGGTGCTGGCTGCGGAAGGTGCTGGGGAACCAAGATCTGTCTCCCGATCCGGCTCAGAAGCTGCCAGCGACAGCAGGGTCGCCCCCAGGGCCGCTGCTCATGGCTTGTTGCGTCCGGGGCACTGCAACCGCGGCCACGGCGGCGCCTTCCTCCTCGTCCTCTTCGCGGGCTCCGAGCCGGAGCTAACGCC